CTTTAAATATTTATAAAGAGGCTATTTCCGTCACTCAAACCCTGGTCTCTTAGGTCACAAAGGATGCACCCATGAAGATAATTTTTCAACAAGCTAGTCCAACAAATCAAAGTAATAAAATTCACTCTTGCAAACAAAGGATGTACCCAGTACACGAGGCTCCCTCCAATGCAGGGTCAAGGGGGGTCATTGTACATAGTCTTGCCTTTAAATATTTATAAAGAGGATGTCTCCGTGACTCAAACCCTAGTCTCTCAGGTCGCAAAGGAGCAACCTTACCGTTGTATTAAGGGCTGCCCTCTTGTAAACACAACAAAAAAAATATATAAACAAACAATACTATCACTTGATTATAGCCTTCATATACCACCATCTACATTTGATCCTACAAAGTGTATAAATAGCGTTCCCATTTTTGTTCTAATAATGAAGAGACAAATACCAACTGCAATATATATAAACATGAACACATACAACTATACAAGTCCTGGCAAGCTCAAAAGCAGCATAAAATTCATGCAAGGAAGCATTAACAGACCAGTAAACACATCAACCATCACTCTGAAATAACCAAAGGAATGAGGAGTAGCCTCTATAACTAAGCATTTCATATTAATTCAAGTGCTTAATTCATATGCATGGGCGGATAAAGAACATGAACCAGAAAATCATCAACAACAAATAAATATATATATTTCAGTCCACACAATGCAACAAAGAAGAACATAAAACATGAGTTCAAAACATACACTTTGATGGTAATTTTTCTATAAAGACCCAGAATGTCCCACTCAATAGAGATAAACTAATCTGACTTCATGGTGTAAGTTCTAAAACAAGGAGAAAAAGGAGAACCATGAAAAAAGCTTCATAGACATTGCAACAATAAATACTAGGATCAGAATGGTGATCCAGCATATAGTAGTACTGTGCAGATTATATCCATCATTGCTCTTTTTAACAGTATCATAGGATCAAAACTAAAAGAACATATTCAGGTCAGGTCCTAAATAGCATACTTCAAAATGCTAATATATATCTTTTCTTTGGCATTAAAAATGAAGAAATATTCAGGTCTTAAAGAGCATACTTAAAATGCTAATCGATTTGCTTCATGGAGAACTTACAGATATTGCAACTTCTTCAACAAACCAAGTTGGGGAACCAAATTTCCAGATAAGTCTGCGTTTCCAAGATCGCTGCAAGTAAATATGCATGATTAGTTTCCTTCACACAGAGAAAGAAAGAAAAAAGATGCAAGATTAGGGTTAACAAGTTGCTTAATCTCACACAATAAGCACAAGAGGCATGCTCTCTTACACTCTTATGACACTGTTATCGCTGTCACAAGTAACATGGAACCATGTGCACGGATTGACCAAAGTCGGGTCCCAGCTCTGCAGCACATTATTTGGATCGATTAAGTTGGTCTTAAGACTGTTCAAAGCATCACCTGTTCACATTGATTCTCTGAAGATTTAATACAAAACTTAGGCAATATTGATGGTGCAGTAATTGCTACAAAGAGTCACATAGAAATAGAAAAAATGCAGATCAATTTATTACTGGAATTAAAATAATAGAACCGTAAATGTCCCATACCCTGACTTCTTATTAATAATTCCGTACTATTTTTCGTAATTTTTTAACGAAAGTTGAATTTACAGTAGAAATGAAGAGGAAATGAGCAATAATAGCTATATAAGAATCTGATTTAGCTGCATCACCAGCATAATGAACCGTTCAAATGGAAGGCACACATCAAAGATCTCAATATTTATTGACCCACGAGGTGCTTCAGATATCAGTCCTTGATATGAAATATTTTCTTTTGTGGACTATGAATACATCTATAACGCAGAATTTAATCATGCTTTTTTCAGGTTGGAGCTTAGCTTCTGGACCAACTGGTCACACGTTCACCATCACTAGTGATTCCTAGTTGACCAGCATATCTAACACCAATCCCAATCAAGATGCATGGCCATACGAAAAGCACTAACGCCATAATCTCACAGAATCTTTCTTCCGGTAGAAACCATTAAATCCCACAACACTTATGAAAAGTATCTTTCGCGATGCCAATTAACAAATTATATTTTGAGTCCACGCCCAATTTTCACTTGACAAAAAAAGATTTTTCTTTATTAGACGAAGTAAGAAGAACTAATTCGGAAAGCAAAGCAAAACCCCTTAAATTGGCGTTCGATATAATTACTACCGATCCAAATGATCACCCAAGTACTAAGAACAGAAAACATCGATATCGGAAAGAGGCCGAATCCAATTTTAAAGATTTAACCGACTCTAGCCATGCCTTATCCTCGATCCAAAAGGCGATGCTACCTATACAAGTACCACTAACCCGCTACGAAGCAAAAGGAAAGCGCAAAACTTGGGACAACGAAACCAGTAGCTCCGGTATACCATGAGACACCACAGGAACCCCCACGGCTCCAAAAAAACTTGGGACAACGAAACCAGTAGCTCCCAATCGAGCGAGGAAAGGAAGAGAGCGTACCTTCCACGTTAGCAAGAACTCTGCCGAGGGGACTACAGACGAGCACGAACCACAAGAACCACCGCGCCATGGCCTTCCTCACCGCGGCCGCCATCCTCCTCCTACTCTCTTCAGGACCGCACGAACCCCTCTCCGGAAACCAGAACAAGAAAGGGGAAAGAAAGAGACACCCCGCACAAACCTCCAATCCCCCGCCGTTGCTCCACGGACGACCACCGAGAGAAAGCGGTAGCCGACGACAGAGGGATCGGAACAGATCTAAAAGATGATTCGAATCTTCCGCTTTTGGAGATGGATTTGCTTCTTTCCGCCTCTCCCGTCTGGTATTCTCCGTGGAGAGAGAGAGAGAGAGAGAGAGAGAGAGGATATAATAATCTACTCCCCATTAGATCTTTTTACATATCAATCCTCAAAAACTTTGATAATTATATATATTTTTACATACCGAAAACTCATTTGTAATTATTCTTCTAAATATAATTAATATTGGTTAAATTAGATTAAAATAATATACAATTATGATAAAATATTCTTTATATTTTGTGTTAATTATATTTTTTTATAAGGCATAAATGTTGTTGAGACAAATATATCGACCTTTTTTTATTTATTTCATAAATATTTTAAGCACTCTACAAAACTATTATTTTTGGCATCCTCTTGATTAACACATTCCGGATTTGTAACGTATTTTCATACAAGTGAGGCGAATCATTGTCTCGGACGAATAATATCATTATATTATTGTGGAAAGGAAAAAAATTCAGTTAATAATCAGATGAAAATATTATTAATTATAAAGGTATTTTTTTGAAATATATAAGAGAAATTGAATTTTAGAGGGATGAATATGAAAAATCCCAGACAAAATAGAATACCACTGCAAGTGCTCGGAGACTGAGACGGTGGTGCCCGAGCTTGGGGTTGCGGATCCTGTGTTCCGGTCGAGAACCAAACAGGGAAACGAAAACGGGCGGGGCCCGATTCATCCACCGATGAGGATAAGAAAGTGCCTGTCTGGCGGTCATGCCGGTGCAGGCAATCCACACATCCTTCGCATGTGGAGGACTTTAGCGTTGACCGAGGATAAGGTGGGGGGAAAGGAAATAGGCACTTTTACATATCTGTCCTTTCCTTGCGAAAGACTTTGGCGTTGACCAAAGAGAAGGCGGAGGTGTAATCGTGTCCGACGGATACCGAAGTCCTCTGATTGATGTTATCATATGCCATGCAATTCGAATGGAGATTCTGAAGCACACGATGTGTATAGTCGGTGGGACCGGTGGCCACAGGACAGGGTGGGACCGTGCAACGTCGGCTCGGTCAAACCACGTGCGATCAGACGAGGAGGATGTGATGCGTGTCGTGTGATGTTGTTCGAAGCGCTGACTTGGGGTCAACTGTTTAGTACATACATCAACAGCAATTAACGATAAAAATCAAATCAAATCAAATAGTGGCTATGTGTAGTATTTAGATGATTAGATTTGAATCGAGGGTTTATTATATTTATGGCACGTTGTTTACTTTCTTCTTCTATAATCAAACATATGGACCAAAGGTGGAAGAAAGTGCTCGTGGGGGCATGAAGAAGAAATGTGAGGATGGAAAAGGAGGATCTAAAAGTGACGCTACCAAACGATCTCTCCTCGATGATAAGGAAGACAAACAAGAGTGCTCGCTTGGATGTTGACACAGTAGCTACCTCTTGTTCTTGAAGAGGCTATTTATTTGACCGGGTAATGCTATACTGTTCCTGATCGTGAATCGAGACCCCGTCTAACCGAACCTAATTAATTAATCGTCCGCGTTTGAGTTTTCCCCGTTGACTATTCCAAACGTAGAATTGGGAGTGGCAAAGGATGACCGGTCGAGGAGAATTCGGGGAATTCCGTTCGAGAATTACTCGCCCGTTCTGTCACAAGTCAAGTCCACGGTCATCACTGTCGATCCGAGCTCGAAAAGTCTACGTAGACCGCCTCAGAGTCGGGCGGAAGAGGGCGAAGTTTCATGTGAGCTGCAGGAAAGCGGTGTGGCTTGGAATGACGGAGACGGGAGGAGTGGAACGCTACTCCCACACAAGTAATTGGCTGGAGCGGTGGATGACAGTGGGTGTGGAACACATTTGAAATGGATTGGCACGACAGAGACGGGAAGAATTGAACACAATAATATATATATTTTAAATGTACTTTGATATTTAATTTATTTTTTTTTTAAAAATCATATTTAGTATTTTGTGGGATGCTAATATAACTTTTTTAATTCTTAAAATATCATATGCCATTATCTAAAATCATAAAATTACTTATAAAATATAATTATATTTATTTATTATTTTTATCTATTATACATCATAATATCATATGGTCATATGAATTCTTTTGTAAGATTACATTATATTTATTTTTAATTTATTTTATTTAAAAATATATTTATTTTAAAATAAACATTAAGGATAAATTTATAATAATATTGAATGAATAATATACATTTAAAACATAATTTTCATCTATTATTTACCATACACTCAAAGCATTTTATAATTACATATCCACTCAAATCCTCTTCCCACTAGTTAATTTATCTCTGCTCCTCTGTTAATATACATTTCTAACCTTTTTTTTTTTACTTCTCTGAACCGATTAAAAAAACCGGTTCATTGAATCCCGGTTCAGATTTCTCTCTGTGCTGTGACAATTCACAAGACAATTAGGATTAATGGTGCCGAGAAAAAAAGGTATAAATAAAGATTCATCTAGATTTAGCTATGAACGATGAGACCTAATATAGCTATGCTAAATCAAGATTCATAACATCTCATACAAAATGGTCGAGACAACTTGCAATTCGATAAAAATACTGTGAATACAGAAAATAATAAAGTGGAGTCCAACACTGGAATTCTTTCGGAAAAGTATCACATAGTCCTGAGATACATACCTGATCCGCTGATCGTGAATCTTTAGTCCTGAGTTTTCATACATGATGATCAACTTTGTTCTTTATAAGGAGTCCAAATCAGTTTACTAACATCAACTTCCAAACCTCCGCGTCCGGCAGCCTTAAGGTGGCGATCCAGGACCTTGAGGTCTAGCACATAATGACACGTTGTCCCTTCCTATACTGTATCAAGTCCTAATAAGCTATGTTAAATCAAGATTCATAACATCTCATACAAAATGGTCGAGACAACTTGCAATTTGAGAAAAATACTGTGAATACAGAAAATAATAAAGTGGAGTCCATGGCACCTATTCTAGATCACATGGCATATGTTTGACTTACTATGTGTCTCATGTCCTCAAGAGTCAGCAATCCACCCACTGGCACAAACCAAACCATCTTTGATTCACCATATATCATTATCAACCGCCTTCCTATAAATATATGTAATATCAAGTACTGCACCAATATCTGTAATATCATTATCAGTTACGCTTGGAATACTCATAAAAAAAATGAATTGGTTTAACTAACATCAAATCAATACAGGAACAACCAGTTTCATCGTGCACATGTAAACAAGCGCTACCAGCTAATTTACTCAACAAACAGATAATCTGAATGCTTGACTTACACATAAAGAACTATATACAAATAGCTTAATAGCATCAGATATGTGTGCACCATCCAAATTGGATAGGACTTCCAAGTTCACTTATAGAACCATGATAATAAATTGCAGCACAATAAGTTGATAAATACACCAAATATAACAGCTATTCACAAGAGAAAGAGTGTTAGTGGACAACCATGAAACTCATAATTAGTATCTACACATCTAAGCTTCTTAAGGTGACCAACTACAGAAATTCAGAGGTAGCTCACCATATGCCTCTGAAGCAGTTCTTTTCACTTCATGAAATTGAGGCAAAATTCACAGAAAAACAGTTTTGGAGAGTCACTGTAGTCTGGTGGAAAAGGAGAGAAGTACCATGTATCTATCTTATATCTGCCAAGTTCTATTTTTGCAATGTTTTTGACTTTTGTAAACTCCTCATGTTCTTGTAAACTAGAAGCATCAAGCTCCTCATCACCATGCTGATATAGTAAACATTGGAATTAGATCCATGTACACAAAATAAAATGCACAAGTTGAGATTTATGTACAAGTTTTTAAAATCTGTTTTCAAAATTTTGACCTCTCATTTTTGTATCAGTTACTGTTGTTTGTTGTACCGAACTTCATACAAGCACAATCTATAAAAACAAAATATTACTCTTTTTTCTTACAGAAAAAGGGAACTACAAATAGTTTGTTCTTTTGAGTCATGTATACAGTTTCCCCATCCAAATGATATTGATCTGTCTGCCCAAAAAAAAAGTAAACAGAAAAGTGAAATTGATTGCGGAAAATGAAAATATTACCATAGTATTGCAAGCTCATATGTTTAGTCCCTATGCCACTGAATATTTATACTTTAAAAGTGTATAGATGGGTCTCATTATGGACTGGAGGACATTTGATCTAGCATATCTGTAGCCATAATATTATGGCTACAGATATGCTCATGATGCTCCCTATTAACAAAATGAGAAGAAAAAATTCAGGAGAATATGCAACAAAATGGCTGGGCATAGACATTCCAAAATTACAAAAAATTCTGGTTAATTTTTTTTTTCACTTGATAATATGATGGACAAGCTACTGCATGTAGTATGGAATTGCAAAGTTTATAGTGTAGTTTAACTAGATGGCAAGCAACCTCTTTTGCCGTAAAAGTACCTCAACATGTGTCTCATCAATCTTCCGTTTCTGACGACGCGTCATTTTCAAGCTTGTCACCTGAAAAGGATCATGTAAATACTTGTAAGGCTTCTTCCAAAATAAGATGCATATATTTTGATGTAGGTTTAGCAAGTGAAAATTATAATTTATATGTAGCAAGCACACCAATACAAATCCCAAGAATACCAATACATATCCCACAGGTGGCAAAAAAATAAAGGAGCATGGCATACTATAAAAAAGATGAACACTCTGCTACTCTCGGAGCCCTTCTTCAACTTAATATCCAAAGTCCTAAGGAATAAACATCCACATCACATACTTAACATGCAATAGAAAACAAAACTAATATGAAAAACTACCTTGTCTTCCACCTTCTCATAAAGATCAGTCTCCATAGTACCAAGATCAAGTTGCTCAAGTTTAACCCGCTCATCGAGCCTCCTATTGACTGGAAAGAAATGACTAAGAGGGCATTAGTTATTTACTTCAAGAGAAAATGAATAGGAAACATGATATCAATTTGGCATTACACTGACGACACTTCCAAACCTGACGGGAGCTAATCAAATGTACAGATCTTGACTACAATGTTTCAGTTCAAAAGGCCCTCATCAAAATTACAACTATATATATCACACTTCCTAATAAACATCTCGACTGATATTATCATGAAAATGCTACAGTTTAAAAGAACTTCATTACGGAATTAGCAGCATACCACAAAGTGTGCATCGCTGACATCTATAACTTAATAAATACCTATAAACGTCGTTACATCGAGTCCTAACTTCCCACTTCCTCCTCAATTCCAACTTTTCCAGCACGAAAAGAAGTAACCCTGACCCGAATCCTAATCTTGACCCTAACCCTAAATGTAATCTAACGTCGATACAAACATGGAGATGGAAGGACAGGAAGAAAAGACGGGCTCACACTCGGTGTAGTGGACGTAGTACTCATAGTCGTTGGGGATCTTCCGCCGCTCGATGACCATGCCGGGGTGGGGCTTCTGATCCCGCCACTTCCAGCAGCAGCGCCACCGTCGACCTCGACCTGCTCCTGTTTGCAGGGTTTTCAGCCTGGCCGGTCGAGACGGTCGTGAGATCGGGTTTTCTTTTGCTAGAAGGCGAGCCGGGTTCGGAATGGTCCGGTTTGTCTCCATTTCCCAGTGTATTGGGCCGGGTTGGCTCGATCCCATGTATGAGTTGAGACAGGCTGTAAGATTTTGGGTCAATCCATAGTATCAGTTAACAAGGTGGAGCCCATATATCATCGACGAAGAAATGCAGTTGCCTGTCTTGGCCGAATCACGAGAATAAAGACTTCAGTTTTGGCATAAGCGATCATTAGTCCGATCCCGTGTTGGGCTTCGAGCGAGGTCGTGACCTTTATTATGGATGTCATGTCGTGCTTCTTTTGAGCCATGGTGTTGGCTCAGAAGGTGGAGCCCACTGATCACCTGTGATGAAAGAAACGCCGTTGCCTGCCTTGGATGAACCAGGCGAACAAAGGTTTGTCACCCTCATTTAGCCATGTCATGGCACTCTGGCACATATAACCAGGGAAGAAACATGACCAGGAATAAACCATGATTACAATTCAAAAAGGAAAATAAAACGAGGCCTAAGTGCAAACTAACAATTCAACTAAAAACGGGATTTGAACCCGACGTGAATCGAACACGCAACCTTCTGATCTGGAGTCAGACGCGCTACCATTGCGCCACGGATCCGTTGTGTAAAGAGCGTAACCATAACCTTTTAAGTTTAAATGTAGCTAACCAATTAGTTGCCCTAGCCGGCCCGGTTTAATCGGACCCCGTATAATAGACGAGTGCGTGCGATGGGAAACGATACGGCTCATCGCTACCGACACAATCTAGCTGCAACGGAGACTCGATAACTCGGAAGACAGGAGAAGGCGAGCGCGAGCTCCACACCGCAGAGGGGCGCCATGGCTACCGTGATGCAGAAGATCAAGGATATCGAAGATGAGGTAACCCGATCCAGCTTTCGAAGATTCCTACCGTCTTTGTTGTTCGCCCTAGATGTATCAGTCTCTTGGTGGAGTGGGGTTCAGTGCCTTCTCCTTTTGACTGGGCGTGATCCAGTCGAATCCAGTCCGATGGCGGATCATCTGTTTCTCAAGTGTTTGTCTGTGTGTATCGAATTTCTTGCCTTACGTCACTGCGTAGGGTTTTTGTCTTCTTTCTTGATGGAGGCGTTTTGCTTTATACGGTTGAATCTCCCGCATATTTTTGATAGACGTCTGTTGTAGAATCTTGATGGTGACTTATAGGTGTACTGGAGGCAATTCAGAACACTGCTATCGAACGAGGATTAGATAGATCGTGGAGGTGTTGCATTGGTTTCTTATTAGGGATCTTTTGCCTGCTCACTTTGTTTGAAGTCTTTTGCATTTTAATCTCGTGAGTTGAGATGCTAATATTGCCACCAATATTGTTTTGGCAGATGGCAAGGACTCAGAAGAACAAAGCGACAGCCCATCACCTTGGTCTGCTGAAGGTGCCTTTTGTTTCGTATATCGCTGCCTGTTTGAAGTTGGTTACAATCTAGAGCACAGACATTCACTTCTCTACTATTTATTGTCTCCTCATTGAAGCTCTTTTTCCCTATCATAAACTGATCTATTGTCAGTATACATACAATGAGACTGAAACTAAGCATGACCAACGACATGTTATGGACCAAGAGTTTGTCTTCCCCTTGTCGATGAGGAGCTACTATTTCTTTACCATTCAAAGATTTTTGGCTTCCATTTCCAGATAACAGTAATGTGTTTTTTTCATGTACGTGGGCTAGTTCTTTTTGATGCATGGTTGGTCAGCCATATTGTTGACCATTCTACATTCTGATTGAGTGCCACTTTCATATAAAAACAAATATGAATTGATTATTCCAATAAGTTCAGTGTTAGGCATGTGCCAAAGTAAGTTATATGTTCATGTTGAACTTAAGGCTTCATTTGGTTTAACATTAGGGAGGGTTGAACTGATGGTTATTGGTTTAACATTCCTAGCTTTCTGGAGCATAATTAACCTGGTTAAAGTGTTCCCACCCTGATGACTCAGGGTAAATTAACCCATCAAATTACCCTATAGGAATCTAATAAAAAAAATAGCTTTAAGTTGGTTAGCTGGATTTATTTTAATCCCAAACAAAATGCAGCCATGGTGTTGCAAACCTATACTGCTCTTGCATATGAATCTGTGCAAAAATGGTTTATTATGCTCATGTTTTCTTGGCTTGGGTTCTGATTTCAAATCTAAATTGATGGGTTAAAAGGTTGATTCAAATAAGTGTGTCGAGTACTATATTTAGATATATAAAATTTCCCATTCAAGGTCTTGCTTGGTTATTGGTAGCGTAATTGTTCTGATTGATGCACTCAATTTTTTTTTTCAATTTAAATTAATGTTGTACTATATAATAACAAGTCAATATTTTTATTTCCAAATTTCAAAAAGAAGGGTAACTGATGGTATTGCCATTTATCAATGCTTCATTGAGTTGGAGCACCTGCAGGATCATTGTCTAGCACTGTTAAATTTGTCCTCCAGTTTTCCTTGCTGAGTAGATCCTAATTAACAAAATGTGATACTGCAAATGGAAGTAAAATGAGAAATTTTTTTATGGCAACCTACTGTATAATGCAGCTAATTGCTGAAATTACTACTATGGTTTATGTATCTCAAAGTCTCACTATTCTATTCTTCTGCATTCTAGTTCAATTGCTCATAAATACTATGTTTTTTCCCCATATTTTTCCCCCAGTTGTATAATGAGTTGATTGTTATTTCTATGAAGGCAAAACTTGCAAAGCTACGTCGGGAGCTCTTGGCACCTACTTCTAAAGGTGGTGCTGGTGCTGGTGAAGGCTTTGATGTTACTAAAAGTGGAGATGCACGAGTTGGTCTTGTAGGTTTTCCATCTGTTGGAAAATCAACACTATTGAACAAATTAACAGGCACATTTTCAGAGGTGTGTCACTTTTTCTAACAAAATTCTTTGCTGCATAATATATATATATATATATATATATATATATATATATATATATATATATATATATATATATATATATATATATATATATATATATATATATATATATATATATA